TTTAGGCCTAGGTCGGTTACGCTTGGATATCCGTCTCTCAGGTTCCTGCAACGCCCTTCCGATTCCAATAGACGGCAGTTTTCTCAACCCCTCCGATTCCATCGTGGTGCGCAATCCTGTAGCAGTAACGCAATTTTCACAGATGGTTCAGGCAACGGGCAGGGTATTCTCATCGAGTTTGGTCGATGTAATCGTATCGTTCCTTTTCAGTCCTGGGTTCCTCGAAGAAAACAACGGTCTTCCCATTCCAGGAACTTCCGGTCCATACCATCAAACCCGCACCGTGGCGCGACTGCAGTTGAAAAATATCCTGTCTACCGTTGTTCGGAGCTACTCGATGTTGGAAGTTCTCAGATCGCAGAGTGCTATCTCCAGGCTTAGCCTCTCCATGGTGATTTGATAACTAGAAGTTTTTGCAGCTGTTGGGAGGTAATGTGAATTCCATAAGGCCTTCTCCAGGTCCCATGTTGTGATGTAGATGTTCATATTTTGAGTGGTACAAGAAGGTCATGGACGGGAGCCTGCTCCTGCTTCTTGAGGAGCAACATGGGTATCTTCTGCCCTGAAGCTCGTATCCACGTCTTGTATCTGGGCTGCGTAAACTTTACTGATATGTGACTCGGCCAAAGTGTCTTTTTTCGTTGCCTCCCTGTATATGTATGCGTGTAAGCGTATGTGTATAGCATGTATAGTATATTCGTCTGCAAAACGCTTCATAGTTTTGGTGAGGCAACTAGTAGTAGTAAGGGACAGCTACACAAACTGAAAATCGACCGATGCAGCGGTGACGCTCCTGTTTTGATTGTGATTATGCTTTCCTCTATCACTTCATTTTATGAACCACTATCTTTGTGTGTTGGTTTGTTTGTCGGTTTCTTGGCCGTTATGGATGTTTGTACTGTCTTGCTCGCCGCGGATGATGGGGTGTGTCAGTTAGGCTGGATTTGGCGCGCCGCCAGCTCGTTCTCCATCACTTGTTGAAGCAGCTAAGCGAAAACACTTGGTGAAAAACAGCCGATGCGAGCGATATGACACATATGGTGATATTTTCACTGTGGTAATACTTACACTAGTTGGGAGTAAAACGCCTATTGGGTACAGTCATAAACCCACACTGAAATCGCGACTGCTTCGTCAGCAGACCGACGCAAAGATAACTCTCGTTACGTTAGTGGGCCGCAGGATGAGGTAGAAAAGAGGACGCCGGGGACTAACTCTGGTAAGATGATATCATATGCTAGCCCATCTCATTAGCACATGCACTGTTATCGATCTTACGCGAACGCGATTAACATCCATTTTCACGCGCAAGAGCTGAAGGATGGTTTATTTGGTAAAAAGTAGCTGTTTGTGTTGCGCGTAGCTTCACCCCTGATTCTTTGAGATGACTTGGTTCTAGGAGTACTAGCCTGCCTCCATAAGCGCTTTCAAAGGATACTAACTGGGAGGTTAGCGTTGCTGCAAAGCGCAAAGCTAGTTTCCATGAGGTAGTTCACTCGCAGCTAGAACTTATACGCTAACACAATTAGGTACCCCCTCAAGTGTCGCTCCCACATTGCCCAGTGTGGATCTCTGATTCTTCCACAAGATCGCTCATATCATGAACTTCGAGCATTGTCAAGACTACCAACAGAGCAAGTCAAAAATGTGTCTTTGGGTCAGGATGTGCCTACTGTAAACCAACGAACCCACCTTATAAACATGTCCAAAACCGCCTTCGTCCAACTTTTTGACTATAACCCATTCTCCAAAACTGAACTTCATTTTTTTCAAATGTGAGGAGTGTTTTAGAGCGGATGAAGAAGTTCAGAGCACTTACCGTTTCCCGTGACCGAACTTGGCGACGGGGTTGTCATCCTCCCCCATTGCGAGCACGAGCCGAGTTGATCCTAGGCAAATGAGAATCACCCCACCATGAAGGATTCTTGCTAATTTGATAAGCAAATCCCTATCATTGTATCCTACTCGGTAAACAGCTGTGTAGTGTAACGCTCACTCGAGCAGTACTCATGATCGAACGGGCATCAGCAAATTGCACGTACAGGGACTCCGTGCCATTCATATATTAGGTAGGGAACATCATGGGGATGCGGGAAATGCCAGTGCCATTACGATTCCGCTCCGAAAGAAGGTCGCAATGCCACCTCCTTGTGCAACCTACTTACAGCCTTCAGCTCTCTACCCACACTACTTACAGGGAGCGCCACAGATACACTCCTTATCCCTGCATTCGAACATGGCACGGAACTGGTTACTCGTGGAATATTCCAATCTGGGACAACTGTCATCTTGTTCTGTGTGGACAGAGACACGACAACAGTTGTGTCAAGATGGAAATATTCCACCAGAAGCATAGACACCTTCAGGTTAAGTTGAAGAATGCAGCCCCGCCTACCCGATCTCAGGGATCTCGAGTATATGATAACAATGCACACCCTACAGGGGGAGGGCAAAAAAGACACTTTTCTTCCTCGACTTTCAAAGCGATATAACTTACATTTAATTTTTTTAATCATTTTTCTTGATTCTGATTGGACATTCCCACCACCATATCAAACAGCACACTGTACACTATCACGATACTCCGCCGGAGCCTTGCGATCGAGCGCCATCGAGAGATTGTGCCACACGACCGTAATTCGGTGCCTGCGTTCAGTGGAGTAGTTGATTTCTCCTTCATAGGGCACGTTCCGCTCGGACTCGGTAATCGAGGGGGTTTAGGTCAGGTGACACACTTTAATATTCCTCTCTTCAGGTACTCAACGTCCTTCCATTCCAAGTAGGCCAAACTTTTTCCACCTTTGGTCCGGGGTCCACGGAGAAAATATCGGTCTACCCATCTAGGAACTCCGGTCCATACCGCGCCTTGGCGACTGCAGTGAAGATGATATCCTGGACCGTAGCGACGTTGTCGGGACTGCTCGATGTTAGAGGTCTTCCAGGTCAAGAGTGCCGGTTTCCAGGTAGCTCTCCAATGGGTGACTCCATTTAGGAACAAACAGAAAAGAACATTGTAAGAAGAAACACTCCAAAACACGTAGTCCACTTCGCTCTGTTAATCCCGCAGACGAACCATGCATTTGTCTCGCCAACCCCAGGCTGAATACAAGAAGTTTCGCAGCAGTTTGGAGGTGAAGTGAGTTCCATGGACCTTCTCCAGTCCGGTTGCCACTGGAGATGACTTCATATTTTGGTGTACAAAAAAGTTGATGGACGGGAGCATCGGCTTATCGAGGAAGAACATCTTGGGGATCTTCCGCCCTGGTACTCGTATCCACGTTTTCGGTCTGGGCTGCGAAACTTTGCTTATATGAGACTCGGTCGAAGGGTCTTTTTCCCTCCCCCAGTTTATCCCGGCGATGGAATAGACGTGGCTGCCTACTTCAATCTAACGTGGTGATGTCTGCTCTTTTAGTCGGGAGACGTGGCTGCCTACTTCATTTGATCAGGCCCTTCTAGGAAAATTGTAATCATGTTTTTGTGAGAACAAGACAGGATACCAGCTTCCTCAGATAAATATCCCACTAGAAACGCAGGCTACGCCATGTTCAGATGAAGTGCGCCATCACGCCCTCCCCCATCTTAAAGATACGAAGTGTAACTGTCGCCGAAAACACCAATGCAGGCTGAGCCACGGTGTCTATCTATAACTGTCTTAAATAGATTGTTCATTCGTTTCGATTGCGGAAACATTCGGAAATGATATTTTTCTTTTGGCAGGGGTTTCTTTTGAAGTGGGAAGGATTTTCATCCGACAGCCACGAGTAACTTATGTGGGGCAAATAATGGATCACAGCCGGGATATGTTGCGTTGTCTGTATAAGTCTTATCAAATTACAATTTTGTCCGAAATAACTGGCCTGTCTGTGAATGTCTGTTGCATTGACCCTGTCGGCACTCCTTTGAAGTGCGCACATCACCAGCCTCCTTAGGTCACAATTACGGTTATTATGTCACAACCAGCAGGCATTGTTTGGCCCAGGACCATTCCGCAACGGCTGCATTTGACCTTTGCTGGTTTATTGTCTGGTCGAGGACTGAGTCCAATTTATTGATATCTGATCGAGATATTCACCAAGCTATTGATATTTAATTGATTTTTCGATATTTTTTTATTGTGCTGATATGGATTTCGCTCATATCTCACATTATTCACGATGAGAAGATTTTCCCCAACAACAAGACTAAACTTTTACAGTCCTATTCTTAAGTGGTCCAACATTTGGGACAATATGCTAGTATAGGAACAGCGATCGCAGACATACCGAATTTCTCTTTCATGGTGCTATATATTTTCTCCTTTGC